AAAAAGTGCAACAACATGCTGAACCAGTTCTCCTCGGAGCACCGGGATCTTCACTCATCCGTCTCCCGGGTGGGCAAATCAGTGGATAAGAACTTCATCTCCGACTACGTCTGCGTGGGCAATGAGAATCTCTTTGACCAGGAGGAGAATGCACTGGCGCTCAACAAAGTCATTGTGGAGCACTTCCTCCGTCAGGGTAGGTCAGACATTGCCGAAAGTCTGATAAAGGAAGGCAAACTGGACGTCAATAAGAGAGACAAGACTCCCTATATCAAAATGAATAAGATTTTAGGTAAGTTTTCGCACTGTTTTCTTAGACCTCTCGTCTAATTGCTGGACTGTTTCAGAGGCATTAAAAAATCACGACCTAGAGCCCGCCATGGAGTGGGCAAAGGAGCATCGCACAGATCTACTGAGACACAACAGCAGCCTTGAGTTTAAACTTCACCGCTTGCAGTTTATTGAGCTACTGCGCGGTGGCATCGACAATCAAATGACGCTGATCAACTACTCCCGTGCCCACTTTACCACATTCGCCAGCAAATACGCCAGTGAGATACAGACGCTCATGGGCTCGCTGATATACCTCAGATCGGGAATCTCCGCTTCACCCTACGCCTACTTGTTGGATCAAACCAACTGGACTGAAATCTGCAATATGTTCACGAAGGAGGCCTGCGCCCTGTTGGAGGTCTCAGTGGAGAGCCCCCTCTCGGTGACCTTCAACGCCGGCTGCATAGCCCTGCCGGCGTTGATCAACATCAAGCAGGCGATTCAGCAGCGACACGTGACCGGGGTGTGGACCTCCCGCGACGAACTGCCCATTGAGATTGACGTCACGCGGAAGTGTCACTACCACTCGATCTTCGCCTGTCCGATTCTCCGCCAGCAGAGCAGCGACAACAATCCGCCGATGCGACTCACTTGCGGCCACGTCATATCACGCGACGCCCTCAACAAGCTGACCAATGGATCGAAGCTGAAGTGTCCCTACTGCCCGGTGGAGCAGAATCCCTCCGATGCGCGGCTTATAGTCTTCTAGAGAGAGAAAAATCCATTGACACCTGCATACATACACATAAACACTAGTTAGTTTACCAATAGCCCTTCTCATTAAGTCCTCTTCTCCCCCTCCTCAATAGTTTTCCCATTCGATGTTCCCATTCTCTAACATGTCTGTCTTCTCTTCTTTACCCTTTCTCTTATTCTCTTCCTTTTCTTTTATTTCGACGCAAACTACCTTGTTGTTGAATAACAGACACAAACTTACACACTCGAACACAACCACACATTTGTTCATTTGCTGCTAACTTTAATGGAAAACAAAACATTAACGGTGATGAAAAAAACGGGAATAGTGCATCTCGCACACAAACTGGTTTGTGGCTGGAGAGGAGATGTTACAGTTTAGGTGCAATTTGTAGATCTTTCTATTTCTCTTTTTTGGCAGACTGAGGACATCGAGAATCAACGCTTTAGCTTTTTGTTGGTGTAGCCGTTGAGCTCACTCAATTTTGGCTGCAAACACCATACCACTCGTCGTCGTCGTCGTTATCAACCAGCTCTTAAACGACCAGAAACTGCTTGTTTTTACTATCTTGAGCACGAGGCACGAGCCGACCGTTGTTTCCTCGCTTTCTAATCGCCACCATCACTACAGAGTGCCTTGATAACCACAACACAGACACAGACACTCTGCTAGAAAGGAGGAGAAGAGAGAGAGGACGATTTGCGTATTTGAGCGTAGCCGCTATATAATCCTCGCACTGTACGACAGCCGACCTTGTAGACACTCGTCGACGACGACGTCGAGGCTCGAAGAAGAAGAAAACAAGAAAACACTTCGATAAGGAGCACATGAACAGCCCATGATCCAGTCAGTCAGTGTCTGAGAGCTGATTTATCCGCTGACAGTCGGTGGTGGTCGTGGTNATAAGGAGCACATGAACAGCCCATGATCCAGTCAGTCAGTGTCTGAGAGCTGATTTATCCGCTGACAGTCGGTGGTGGTCGTGGTGGTGACTTTCTTCTTCTCCTTCTCCGCTGAAGAGACGGCTGTGTGTGTTCTCTCCATCCTCTACTTTTGTGTATACTTCTTTTCTTCAGTAGCAACCTGTGAAGGATGATTCGCTCTCTTCTTCGGTCGCAAAGCAGGCATCTATTTTCGGCCTCATCAGCTGTACCGAAAGCTCTGTTCGAAAGCAGTGTCACCAGCATCGGTGGAAGTGTCAACAGTGTCAGCAGCAGATGTGTCCGATTGCTGAGCAGCAGCACTGTCGCAAGTCCTCAGACAGCTGCTGCTACTGAAAGTGATCGTCAACAACTCTTCACCTCACTCTGTGATATCGTCGGCGTGGACAATGTCAGCAAGTCGGTGCCCATTCGCAAGCAGCACGGCAGGGATGAGAGCCACTTCTCGTAAGTTTTTGCTTTTGTATGTTTTTTGTTTCAACTAACCACCACTTTTTTCACAGACCAGGACTGGCTGATTTTGTGGTCTGGCCGAGCACCACTGAGCAGGTGAGCCGAGTGAGCCGTCTTTGCTACCAGGACAATGTGCCCATCACGCCCTTCGGCACCGGCACCGGTCTGGAGGGCGGTGTGAATGCGCTGAAGGGCGGCGTGTGCATTGCCCTCACCCGCATGGACAAGGTGATCGAGGTGAATGCAGAGGACTTTGACTGTACGGTGGAGGCGGGCGTCACCTGGCGAGACCTCAACCAGCACCTCAACGGAACTGGCCTCTTCTTTCCCGTTGGTAAGAATTATTTGGCTTTGAATTTTACAAGTGTGCTTATCTCCGAATTTTGTGTTCAGACCCTGGCGCCTCTGCGAGCCTCGGCGGAATGGCCTCCACCAATGCTTCAGGGACCAATGCCGTCTACTACGGAACGATGAAGCAGAATGTGCTCAATCTGGAGGTGGTTCTGGGAAGTGGAGAGGTGATGAAAACTTCAGGCATCAAGGCACGACCGCGAAAGTCCTCCGCCGGCCTCAATCTCACCGAGCTGTACGTGGGCAGTGAAGGCGTCCTGGGAACCATCACCAAGGTCAGTAGTTTGTTGTTGTTGTTGCTCTCAGCTGGAAAGTGTTGCTGCCTCCTCCTTTGACTGAGCTTCCGGCAGCTGTTGAGACGATGATGCCTGTGGTTGGATGTTTCGTAGAGTGTTCAGCCTTGGAAGGGGGCTTTTAGAGTGACGCCGACGGCTGTGAAGTGCTACTCTTACTGTTGACGCCACCGCCAGCTGACATTAATGGCACTGCCAACTGCACTGCAAAAGTCTGAAATGGTCCGCAAGGACCAGCAAAGTCAAATTTGCCGTTTAGCAGACTTCAGCTCTAAAAAGGAAACCTCAAGAACAGTTTTAACAGTAACATTTAATTTTTTAAATAGAGTGAGAAAGTGAAACAGTGGGGGAACAGTGAAACAGTGAGACAGTGGGGGCCAGTGGGAGAGAGAGAAGTAGAAGTAGAAAGAGGGAGAAGGATGGGAGGGGGTGGCAGATCGCCTACCGAAGCCCTCTAGTAGGGGCGGTAGCGATGGCTGCGA